ATGTACTTGTAACATTTTCTCTCAATAATTTTTGCGAACATCTATTTTTTTATTTTTTAATTATTTGTTTCATTGTAGAATATATTGATAAGGACCTAAAAAAAAGGTCGAAACGTCTATTTTTCACTCATGATTTAATAAATCACTTTCTTATACATCTACACATCAACACCGTTGTTATGCTCTGACTGCCTTTACCACACCATTATAAATACAAATTTAGGTAGGCCATCACACGCTAATTGTAAATGTTCATTCTTTAACACACTATTACGCGTTACTAAAAACACCTCTAAGACAAAAGAAACTTTATGTTATAAAAGACGCCTCTGACACAATAAATTTAGAACATAATCAGCATGTTGATTGTAAATGCTTCATTAGTCCACCAGTACACGTTTATGCAAGCGTATTTTTAAGAAAATGAGAAAGCAAGTTTTTGTTGCAAAAAAACGTCTCTGGTAAAAGAAATTTTGAACATAGCCAGCACACATTGATTGTAAATGTTCATATTATTTAGTACACTACTTTACAATAACAAAAACGTCTCTAAGACAAAAGTAAAGCAACTTTTATACTACACGAGACGTCTCTGGTACAATAAATTTAGAATATAGCCGGAACACGTCACTTGTAAATACTTCAAAATAAGTTTTCTACCAGCATGAGTTTAGAAAAACGCTTCTGAGCAAAAGAAAAAATAAAACAACTTTATGTTACAAAAAAGGCCAATTAGACCATAGCCAGCACACGATAATTATTAGTACTTCCTATTCATAAGTACATTTGCACACGCTTGTATCTCTGAGAGAAAAGAGAAAAAGCTTTATGTTACAAAAGACGTCTCTAGCACAATTTAAAAGATAGCCAGCATATGTTGCTCATCAAACCTTTATATTTATTAGTACACCAATACACGTTTTTAAAAGCAATTCTGAGAAACAAGACAAAACAATTTTATGTCACAAAAGACGCTTCTGACATNAAAAATTTAAAATACATTTAACAAGCACACATCAATTAAAAATGCTTTATAATACTTATTATTCCAACACACACCTTTACACAAACGCCTCTGGGAAGAAAGACGAAGCAACTTTACAGTCAAGAAGATGCATCTGACATTGTTTTATTTTAATATTATGGAGACCATAGGCAGCATGTGTTGGCAGTTTATAACTATTACTCCAGCACACGTTATCAAGAACGCTTCTGGGAGGAAAGACGAAGCAAATGTACAGTCAAA